AGAGGTTATTAAATATTAAATACAACTGTACAATGGAAATAAAACCTTTTTTGACAGGTTGTTATGAAGCATTCACAATGCACTTAAAAATAATTTATCACAAAATTAATGTTATGTCCTGATAAAAACTAATAATGAATTTTTTTTGTTTTGGTAGTACTAATGTTGATAATACCCATCAATATCACAATTCAAAAATGGTGTACAATTCATATGGTAACAAAAAAAAGGTTGGAGAAAATTCTAATGTAGAAAATTTACAATTGTAATTTAATAATTTCAATTTTAAAAAATTTCTTTTTAAAAAAGGAAATTATCATATCACTCAAAATTCTTTGATTATAAATTAAAATATCTGAACAAATAAAATTGATTTATTAATAATATCATTAGTGTGAAATCTACTGATGTAAAAAAATTACCAACTAAGTAATTAATAAATTATAATATTGTTAAAATATCACAATAAACATTTATCCAAAATTACGTTAAGAGTTTAATTTTTTTCACAAAGTAAAATATTTAAAGGTTGGTTGAAAATAAATTTAGAGATCATACAAACACCCTAAATTTTTTTTTTTGTCAGAAATACCATTTTAATTAATTAATTCATATTCAATAATTGATTTAAAAAGCCAAAAATATGAAAAGAACAAAACATTTCAATCAAGATATATATATATATATATATATAAACTTGGGATACATGACTCATAAAAATAACTTACTGTCAAGTTATAAAAAAAACTAATTTTAAATTCTCTATAAATTGTCAATATAAATATAAGTAATGTTACATTAGGGAACATGAACTAAAAGTACCTAAATAATTGTATTGATATTAAATTTTCCAAGCTAAAATAAACAATATTAAATTTCTTTAAAAAAAATTATTCTTTTTTAAAAATACAACTCAACAATTTTTTTTTTTAAGTTATGGATTAATTTATGGATGACCTTGAAAGACGTAAATTTAATGAAATTTAAAAAATTTTTGAATAATTCGATTTTTGATTCATTAAAAAACATTTTTACGCCTTTAAACTCCAAATAATTAAAGCAAGCATTTTCTTAAAATCATGAAATACTATCTTTAAGTTTTAGATTAAGATGGCGGCGACATTGATATAGAAGCATGCATTAAAGAAAATTATAAATTACCTTGGTTTCCTTGTCCTTTCATCCGCTGATGATTTAGTTTAGTACATGAAAGCAAAAAAAAATTGAATAATTTTAAACAATGTAAAAAAACAACTTGTATTGCAGCTTTTGAAAGTTTACTTAACAACGCCCTAAGTATTTTAAAAATTGGTTGCAATATTTGTCAGCTTTTTACCTGATCTGAAACTCCTGTTGACATCACCTAAACACCTTAATAACACAGTTAAAAATAAATGTCCTAACCACAGAATATTTTCACTTGAAAAACTTTAAGACAGTCTATATTGCCGCAAACAACACTATTGTAAACCGGTTCAGTGCTTATTTTCTCAACAAATTCTATTTTTTGATTTCAATATGGCTCCACTAAATGATGGCGGGTTATTTTTGTAATTTGACCACTAGAGGACAGTGTTTAAAATATATATATAAGCTAAATACTAAAAATTGACGGCAAAATAGTAATATCACAAAGTACGGCGGCAAAATTTAATTAAAACCACGTGATAACATTCTAGTTTCCGGTTGAGTGTCTCAACTAAACTTGAATTTGAGGTTTTATTGTAAAAATATATTTCCTTCCTCCAAAAAAAATCCAAAATGGTTGCACAAAAAAAGCAGGTAAATTTATTTTAAATGTATATATGCTTTTTTATTTTGTAAAATTTCGTTAAACAAAAGAACCGTGTCATATTGAAGTGATGTAATGAAAAAAAATGTTTTGCCTCATGTTGCTAATTTTTAATATCGTTTTGTTTTCAGAAAAAAGCTATGGAGAGTATTAACTCTAGATTAGCGTTAGTTATGAAATCTGGTAAATGCGTATTGGGACTAAAGCAAACCCTTAAGACTCTTAGGCAAGGAAAAGCTAAGCTTGTCATTATAGCTAATAACACTCCCCCACTCAGGTATATAACTTCTGTTACTAAAATCAGATAATTTTTAATGTGTTTTAACGCAGAATTTTTAATAACCTATTATTAGCGTTTAGTGTACTAATTTTAATGTTATGTGTTTGTTTTACTATACCTAAAGCAATGTTGATAATTTTAAATATTCTCTAATTTAAATTTACAAGAGAAAGATTTACATCCAACTTCCTGTCTATTATTAAATCATATTTAATATTTGTATGTAGAAATAAAAAAATTTGAAATTGAATACAAACACACACACACACACTTATGCATATATTTATTTTTGTTTATGAAAGTTACTCATGAAAGCAGTGGTGAATTATTATTTCCAAATTACGTTCAAACAAAACTTTGCATAATTTTTTAAATTAAGTGTATGAAATAATATTTAACTCTAAATTTATTCAAAAATATTGGATAAAATATGAATTAAATAGGTGACTTCGAAAACTCGAATAACTTGAATATGTTGGCTTATTGTACATAAGAATTTTTGTAAATTTAAAGGTGTAAAATTTGAATATGTAAAATTTTTAAGGCTTAAGTCGAAACTGTTTAAATTATGAGAATATTAAGTCAATTTTTTTTTTGTTTTTTTAGAAAATCAGAAATTGAATACTATGCTATGTTGGCCAAAACTGGTGTCCATCATTATACGGGAAATAATATTGAATTAGGAACTGCTTGTGGTAAATATTTTAGGGTGTGTACTTTGTCAATAACTGATCCAGGTGATTCTGATATAATTAGAAATATGCCAATTGGTGATCAATAAATTGATTTTTTTTATTTGCGATACATCAATTTTCTTTTTTAATTTAACCTTCATGCTCCAAACGTTTAACTCTTAACATAATTTAATATATATAATTTTTGAATAATAATAATGATAATGATATTTTAAAAAAATTCATATTTTGAGGATTTCCTTTTAATTTAATTTCCATCTTTTGTATAAAAATAAAAGTATCAATTTCAAATGTTTAAATTCTTCAATTGTTTTTGAAATGATTTAGTGGTTTTATTTTTCATTTATTTAGCCAGATAATAAATAAATTAAATTTTGAAAATATTAAAAGTAAAGAAATTAAATAATTTTATTTGAATTTTTATAATAACACAATTACTATAATTTTAAAGGCGATTTTTCTTCCAACCTTATTTTTCAGAAAGCCAACCAAAAAAAAAAAAAAAAAAAAAAAATTAAAGAAAATTAATAATAATACAAGAAATAACGTAATACAAACTTCACTGTTGTTATTTTATACCTTTCAATTTATTACAAATTAAAATTTTATTTAGAGGTTTTTTTTTTTTGTTCGAAATGAAAAAAAGTTTATTTTTATAAATATTGTATTAAACCAGGGGTTTTTTTTTTTTTTTATTCATTTATACTATCATTTATTTTATCAAAGTAAAATAATTCATAATTGTTTTTAAATAACAAAATAATTAATTAACCACAATAAAATTTAAATTTTTATGGATATTTTGCGACATTATTAAATTTGGATTTTAAATGATAAATATTGAGTACGTAATAAACGGCCTGAAAATATCCATTAGGCTTTTGAAAACTTTGTTTGAGAAGCATATTTTAACATAAAGAAATTACAATTTTCAAATGGAATATCTTAAAATAATTATTACAGGCAATTAAAAACGAAATTATATTGATTTCTTCTTCGTTCCTTGCAAATACTTAAGAATATTATTGCTGCTTTCATTTTTTTGTTTTCTTGGAAGATAATTGTGTTCAATTTTCTATAATAAAAAAAACACTTCGAAACTTTCATTTAATAATTTAAACTGGAGTTGTGGCGGGTCCTTGAGCGATATAAGGTTGAGCCCATTCTACAAAATCATCTATTAAAACCGGCCATGCTCCTTCTTGATCGTAATTTGACATGTCCTCATTAATAGTCAATGCAAATTCTAATAAAAGATTCCATGTATCTTTTGGAATAGACCTTTTGTGACGATCCTTTAAAAAAATTATTAAAAGAATTAAAACATTTATCAATTGTTAAATTTTACTTGCAAAGTTACTAAAAAGCACATGAACTAGCCAGTTGAAAGTTCGAGAACACTTTAAAATAAGTTCAAACATTTTCAAAGGTAATAATTTGTTATGTTGCATAATGCTTTTTCAAATTACCAGTGACTCAATTGATTTATATTCAAAATGAGTACTTTAAATTAGACTTGTGTTTAAGTAAGTTTTAGTACCTGAAGAAATTGACACCAAAGATGCAAAAATCGAAATCTCCCTTGTAAGATAATATTCCAATATGCAATAGCCATGTCTAAATCTAAACCTTTTTGTCCTTGATTTTTAGCATAGTTGAAAGTAAAATGGTAAAGATCTTTGAAGCGAGGTTGATCTCGAATCTCTGATTCTAATAAAGGTAACCTCGATTTTAATTTATCTATAGAATCACACCTTAAATTTAAAAAAAAATAATGTCAATTAGAAATATTATTGTTATTATTTTTTTTTATTGCTTATTTAATATTACTTAAAACCTAATACATACCCAAGCTCTGTCATTCCTCCCATAAATTCATCCTTAGTGAACTCACACTGAGTGGCTGCTCTAAATTTCCAGGCTAAAATTAAAACAAGTTTTGATTCTGGATTTAACCCAATATCATCTAAAAACCTTTCTATACCATCAGCAGTCATCTTATCAGGCTCTGCTGGATCTGAAAATTTTAAAATTTAAACAAGTTTTATTGAGTTTTAAAAATTTCCAAAAAGTCGTAATGTTTCTGAAATGTCAGCTCAGAATTATTAATTAAAATAGGTTACGAATGTTTTGAATCTTATTTCTTATGCAGACATGTAAGAATTAAATTCATTGTTTACCTCTATATTTTTGAAAAAGTGTTTCAAGTTTTCTTTTGTCAACAGATACTTTAGGCTCTTTGTAGTAAACATCAGGATTTTGAAAATAATTATCCGATGCAAGCTCCAGTTTCCAGTCATTTTGAGTTAAGCAGTATATTGCTGTATTTTCACCAGTTTGAGTAAATGAAATAAACTTTTTTACTTTATCTCTTTGAGAAGATTTTAATTTATGCTGAAATAAATAAAAATTAAAATTAATGACATGTTGTAATATTTTTTTTTTACTTTAAAATAATTTGTGAATTAATTTAGTAAATTAAAATTATATATCATAAGGAGGAAAATGAAAATAAAAAACGTTTACAATTTATTTTGTTTTCTGCGGTTAAAATGCACGTTAAATTTAAATTATCTGTTACAATTTAGGGAAATATTTTGTTAAAAAACTGCGGTTGTTAAACATATTCAAAAATTTGTTTATCTTATTATTTGAATGTAAAATTATATATTTAAAAATAGGATATATGAAAAATATAAAAATAAGCATTAGTTTAAAATCGTTAGCCTCACCATTTTCTTTATTTAAAAGGCCCTACAAGACCACACATTAACTAAAAATTTCCATAAATTTTTTTTATTTTTGAATTTTTCTACGTATATTTCTTGATACAAGGAAAATAATGTTTTTTTTTTTTTTTTTTTTTTTTTTTTTAATGATATCGCAAACTGGCAGTATCTAATTCCACGACAATTTGCCGCCATATTCGCAAAAATCAAATAAGTGAATCATATGAAAATTTATTTTTACAGTTATTCTTATATAAATTATAGCATTTTTTTTTTTTTTTTTTACGTAAGTTTGTATTGAAAAAACAAAAAAATTTTTAATTCGAGTAATTTTAGGTAATAATGCTTGAAATATCTAATTAACCGGGCAATGAAAAAGCAAGATAACACAAACTATATAATTATAATAAAAAAGTCAATAAAATTATTTTAAAATATGTACTATAGAAAAAAAATTTTTTTTTCCCCCCCCCGGGAAACAATAACTAAGAAAAATTTTCTTGATTAATAGTTACAATAGTCGTTTAATGCTAAAAATTTTCTTCTTTTAGATTTAACTGTGAAAATTCTGTTTCAGGAGCAGAACCTACAAAACAATACCATAATTTAATGTTGAGATTTAGTTAAAAATAGATATCGACGCCACCAGGACAGCAATAAAAATCTTTTGCATAAAGTTAAAACTTATTTAAAAAAAAAAAGGATTACTTCCGGTATAAAATAAGGAAATGAACAGAATGATCTGTAATGTTGTGTCCCTAGCAAGATCGTATCAATGGTTTTAAGACAGGAACAAACATGTTTCTATCATGGAATGAAAAGGAAGTTAAAAGAAGAAAAATTAATTATTTTTAAATATGTTTCAGTATTAGTTTTTAATATCCCGTCGGATGAAAACTAAAGACAAAAATCAAACGTTGAAAAGTCCGACGGCAATTTACTTCATTATTACGATGGGAGTAAGGGTAAAAGACACACCCAAACAAACATTAGACGCTGAGTGAGTGACTTTCGCGGGCAAGCAGACGATTATAATGAATTGTACGTAACGGTCGTTTGGAGAAAAAATTTCACCCAAAAGTTAGTTAGTTGTTAACGTGATAGAAACAAAAAGTGTTTTATTTTATTTTTTTAAATCTCCTGTCAGTTTATTTTAAAATAAGACACACGCACGCACACACACACACACACGCACACACACATAGATATTTGCATAAATAATGTAAAACTTTTAAGGTTTTTAACCTTATAACTTATAAACATTTTAACCAAACATCAAAATTTACTTTTGAAATTTTTTTTTTTTTTTTAATACCTTTTTGAAGGTATAAATAAATTAATTTTCTTTACCGGAAAGTTTTAAAACGATATAGAGAAGAAAAAAAAAATTACACAAAGTTATAAAAAAAAAATCAAATAATAATAATAATAAAAAAAAGAAAAAGAAGAAAAGTAAACTTTTTATATTTTTTCATAATATCATTTTAATTAATGATTAATAAATAATTTTTTGTAAAGTTTTAACCAATTGAAATTTAATATATATATATATATAAATATATATTTTTTTTTTTTTGGTAAATGAAAAAAAAAGAAATTTTTTTTGAAAAACTTTGAAATTTGTGAATTTAACGGTTATTTTTTTTTTTTCTTATTTTAAATCAATAAAATGTAAGAGAAATAAGGTATTAAAAGGTTAAAGAAGTGTAAGATGACTCGGAAAACATTGGATAAAAGATAAAATCAAAAATTCTTTTTCATTTAAAAAAGGTAAAAAATTATTTTTTATATAAGTTAAATATAAAAACAAAAAAAAAAAAAAAAGGAGATAAAAACAAAATTTTTAACTAAGCACGACGATGGCTACGTTTACACTTGATAAACTAAAAGATTTTCACCTAAAAAAAAAAAAAAAAAATTATAATTATATGGAAAAATGATTACAAAATTTCTTTTTGTATGTTTTTATAATTAATAATAATAATAAAATTATTTAAATAATAAATTAAACGTTAATATAATTAAAATTAACGTTAATTTATTTACCAATCGAATGATTTTCACATAAAGAAATTTTCATGATAAATCAAAATTTTTTTTTTAGAAAAACACTCAATTAACATTTTTTTAATTTGTTAAATAAATTTTCCTCTCGTTTATTGAGTAATAAATAATAATAATAATTAAAGATAAACAAAAAGAGATTTGAAAAACAAAAAGAAAAAAGGAAAAAAAAGGAGAAAAAAAAATGGAAAAACATAATCCGAATTAATAAAGGGTGTAAACTAAGCTTTCGCGGGAAACCCAGCCAGGGCGGCGTTCATAGGCGGCTGCAATATCATTTAGTCAATCCGAAGCTTTTCTTTAGTTCGGTTATAATTTTTTTCATATAGATACACTTTTCACTCACACAAACACACACACACACACTCTTACACACATTCACACACATACATACACACACACACACACACGCATACACACACACAAATATAAATATACGTATAAAAAAATATATATATATATACATATATTTATATTGGTCATAATACAGATTATTCTTTCATCGTCGTTTATGTAAAATTTAATGTTTGTTCGGTATTTGTAGTTGAGAAATATATTAATAATAATAATATTTAGTCGTGTTAATTAATTATATTATAATAATAATAATATATAATAAATATTTATTCGGAGTTGTGTAATTAACTTGATGTTGTGTGTGTGTGTGACTATATTTAATATCAATTATTAATAATATTTATTTATTATTGATTTCAATTACAATTACGGATTTTAGACTCTCCGGTAAGTTTGAATATATTATATTATTATTATCATTATCATCATCATTATTATTTCATTTCGGTCATTTTCGATTTTAAACCGATAAAAAAAAAGAAGAAAAAAAAAGAGAAAAAAAATCCTTTCTTCTTTTTTCTTTTTTTTTTTTTATTCACAAAATTTATTTGTGTTACCAACAATTGAAAAAAAATTTTTTTTTTTTTCCCCCGTTGTTGTTGCAACGTCTGAGTAAAAAATTATTCGACGAAAAGTAAATTAAAAATAATAATAATGATAATAATGATGAAGATTGTAATCGAGTTTGTCTGATTAGTTTTATAACTAGTTTGTTATTATTATTATTATTACTTTTTTGTTTATAAAACGGGAAAATTAAAAAAAAAAAAAAAATTTGTTTATCTTTCATTTTTTTTTTTTTTCGTTGATTTTAATTTTAAAAAGACATATTAATAATAATAATAATAATAATAATAATAATAATAATAATAATAATAATAATAATAATAATAATAATAATAATAATAATATTCAGGAATTAATCATTTGTTAATTATTCGTGTAATAATAATAATTGAATCGAAATTTTTTTTTCTCGTGCCACGTTTACAAAAAAAAAAAAGGAATTAAATGAAACAAAAAAAATAAAGTGTGACGTAAACACACACACAGACACAAACACGTACAATATATAAAAAAAAAAATTTTTTTTTTTGTGAACTTTAAAGAGTAAATTAAAAGTCTATATATAAAAACGGTTGATCAAACAAAATACAAATTAATGACTTTATCGGATAAAACAATATTTAATTATTGATATATATATAAATGTTTTTTAATAAACAACAACAAAAAAAATATATATATTTTATTTTGTGTTTTCACGCGGGATTTTACCGGGGGGACGACAATTAAAATTAATCTTTTAATTACTTCTGCTTTTGCTATTACTACTACCCCCACCACCACCACTCCCACTACTACTAATGTTTTCCAAACCACTAAAATTTTCCAGGATTTTAACTACCTTTGTGGTTTTTTTTTTTTATTTTTTAAAATTGTTTCTTGTCCCCGCCCCTCCCTCCCCCTTTATTCGCTTCTATATATATGTATGACAAAATGCGTTCGTTTCACAGAAAAAAAAAATTCAAAATGAAAATAAATAAATAAATAAAAGATTTTTAGAAAATGTTAAATTTTAATAAAAAAAAGAAGTATAAGTAGTAGAAAGGAAATCTATTTAAATAAATAAATAAATAAATAGATAAAAATGATCTCTTTAAGGTGTTGTGTGTTTATTTATTCTTTTTTTTTATGTGTGTGTGTGTGAACATCACCTCATTTGTTAGTTATATCAATATTATTATTATTATTATTATTATTATAAAACAACAAAGGATTTTATATTATTTTCAATGCAAATAAAACTTTTTACGTAAAGAATTATTATTATTATTATTTATAATATACAAATACAAAAAAAAAAAAAGGTGAAAAATACAATTAATCTTGGAATAATATACACTCACACGCATTCGCACGCGCACACACGCACATATGAATAATATATGTGTGTGTGTGTGTTTTGTATTGTTTTAAAATAAATTTTAATGATGATAAATTCACGTTTGAATATATATCGGCCATTATTATTATTATTATTATTATTATCGATTATTCGTTGTCGTCGTCGTCGTGGAATTCATTATATTTATTATTATTATTATTATTATTATGAAAACCTTTTTTTTATATAATAGCGTCAAAGCATTATAAGTAGTATACATTAAAATTATTCAACGTGATTTAATATTTTTTTTCTTTTTTTTTTTTTTTTTTTTAAAACGGTTATAAAAAAGTTGGGTGTGTGCGTGTGCGCGTGGTGGTGCGTTTATAGGGAAGGGTAGGAGGGATGGAGAAGAGTAAGAGGAATGGAGGGAGGGAGGGAGGGGGAAAAGAAATTAAGTTTGCATACGCATGTTTAAAGCATAAAAAAAAAAAAAGTTTTTAAATAATTAAAACCGTGATAATTTTTGCTACTTTTTGTAAATTTTCTTCTTCCCCTT